CTTCCAATCCAAATTGTTACTATTATTTATTGATTTTTTTTTAACGTATGCGCAAGGAACATGGCTGTCTGAGCTTTACCGCTCAGGTTTTTTTTGAGGGAAAACGGCCAAAAGATACGAAGCCGAGGTCTTGAGGACTGAATGGGAGTGATAATAAGGCAAGAACAACATGAGGGGGTTCCGGAGAAGCAGCTAGCAGAAGAAAACATCGCTTCTGGAAGAGCTGCTTTTGGAAAACGCCGCCAACCCTGCTGCCATCCCACCAGCTCCGCCTGCCATCCTACCCACTCCACCCACCATGGTTGCTGCTCTGCTTGCTGTGGGCGCCGGCCTGGTCCTCCCATTTCCATTTCCATCTGCTTCTGCTTCGGCCGCCGCAGCTCGATCCTGCTGCTTCGGGGGGGGGGCTGCCGGCCCTGCCGCTGTCCTGCTTGCTCCAGCTGCCGCGGCCGCTGTTCCATCTGCTTGGGCTGCCGCATCTTATCTTTGCCCTGCTACTTTCGGGGGCCGTTGGCCCTGCCACCGTCTCGTTTGTTCCGGCTGACTGCTGTGGTTGCTGCTTTGTCTGTCTTGGCTGCCAACCACTGTTTCATCTGCTTGGGCCTCCGATCTGGCCCTGCTGTTCAGGGAGGCTGCCGACCTTGCCACTGTCCCGCCTGCCCCGGCCGCCATGAATGCCATCCCATCTGTGCTGGCCACCGTGGCTTGGCCCTGCCACTTCGGGGGGGGGGGTGTTGTGCTGTGCTGCTGCTGCCTGCCCTGCTGCCCATTGAGCCGTGGAGCCAGTGAGTTTGGACTGGGTGGCTGGCCTTCTTGCCGTCACCATTGCCATCTTGACCATGCCCCCCTCCCTCTTCCTCTTCTCTCACCGCAGCTTGCACATCATTGCTGCTGGGCATCTCGATTGGTGTGGGCCCTTTCTATCATTGCCCCGGCTACTATGTCCTCGGCTTTTTATACTTTATGACCTGAAGCATGCCAGGCCAGGAGGAACTGCTACCGTGCCGGCTGCTCTTTACACTGCTCTGCAACATATGGCTCCACAGAGAGGGAGGACAAGGACTAAGAGAATGGGGAACCTGCTTTTCCCAACTGGCACCAATTTTCTCAGCCCCCTTAAACTTTTACACCATTTTCAGACTACGCGGGGAAAGAACAAGAAATCCCCCCCCCCAAAAAAAACTATTCTGGCTCCAGCCGCCTCAGACTACGCTGACCGCCTGTGCTTTGCGATCTCAAGAACAGCGTTTTAACTTGAGTGTTGAGTGTATGATTGTACGATTGGGAGAGTGAATGCACCCACTTTTAATTTAATTAATTTAATTATTTTTTACTGTATTGTATTTTGACTAGTGTGGGGTGCGTCAGTGCAGAATGATTGTTGAATGAACATGATAGGTCTGGGGGTGCAACCTGGAGCCCCCTCCACTGAGTGCAGAAGCAGAAGTGGATGGGGGCCCGGATNACCATGAAGTAAAAAGGATGTGGAGATTCTAGAAAGAGTGCAGAGAAGAGCAACCAAGATGATTAGGGGACTGGAGGCTAAAACATATGAAGAACAGTTGCAGGAACTGGGTCTGTCTAGTTTAATGAAAAGAAGGACTAAGAGTGACATGATAGCATTGTTCCAATATCTCAGGGGTGTCAAGGTATTCTCTAAGCATCAGAGGGTAGGACAAGAAGCAATGGGTGGAAACTAATCAAGGAAAGAAGCAATTTAGAACTAAGGAGAAATTTCCTGACAGTTAGAATGATTAATCAGTGGAACGACTTGCCTCCAGAAGTTGTGAATGCTCCAACACTGGAAGTTTAAAGAACATATTGGATAACCACTTGTCTGGAGTGGTGTAGGGTTTCCTGCCTAGGCAGGGGGTTGGACTAAAGACCTCCAACTCTGTTCTTCTATATTCTATTCTATTATGTGATTTAAAACTGCATTTGGTAAAGAAACAAGTGAAGAAAGTAGGATTATTATATCAGAATTCCCAATGACTAAAACAATTTTTTGCAGTGTGTGCAAATCAGAAGCCTAGAAGCTAATCACAATATTAGGATTATTCTTTTTTAGCTGGAACAAAATAAAGTGTAAATATTCATAGTATTCAAGTACTTACCTTTGTAGAGTCTCTTTTCTTTGTCTTCAGACCACTTGTGTTTGCACCAGAAATGTTTCTGCAACATGTTAACTAAGGAGAAAAGTAAATCAAAATAAGCTGGAAGTCAAATGCAATTGAACCATTAGCAACGTTTTACAACTTCAGACACTACAATAAACAAATAATCCACACATTTTTTCAGAGGCAAGGTGTAGAACTAAGTTTTCACCTGCACTTGGTTCATTTATCTCCAGGTAGGATTGCATGTTGCGAACAGGAAAAAATGTTTTGTAGAAGAGCCCTGAAACTTATCAGATACATGATTAGGAAGACTCCCAGTTTCATTAGCCCTAAATTGGGGGATCAAATGACATTTAGAAGATTAATAAACTATATAGAAATTTCTTACAATTAACAGGAAACGAGATTTAATAGGAAGATATTAAACCTGTTCCATCAGCTTCTAACTATAAATGCCAATTTCAAAAGAATGGTTTCCTTTGGGGAAAAAAAATCATATTTCACCATAAGATTATGCCACTCAAACATTTCATAGACATTTCTAGTGTTCTGGTTGCTCTTTCTGTTTAACTATATTAACTTTAACCTGAACTTGGACCAACTTGCTTTCAAACAGAGAATATCTTCAATAAGATAGTATTGTGTAAAGTTATAAGGCACAACTATGCTCTCCAAAACAGATGAAATAGTTTAGAAATAACAAATAGGAGGAAAAGAATAAGTAAAACCAAATTTTAGGTCTGTTCTTGAATATTTCTAAGGCATTTGTAATATCTTAAAAATATTATCCTCTACCTGATCTTGGAGGTTTGGTTTCACCTCCTAATTTGATTCACACATAAACATCAAGCTATGCTTTGATTGCCAGGCCCCATTTGCCTGTATTTTATACATGTTTTATACACTCCAACATTGTATTAACTAACCCATCATGGAAAGTCACCATGTGGGTTGGTTTTGGCTTACTACATGTGAAACCAGCTATTACAGTCTGTGACCCATGGTTTATCGTTCAGTATGCTGCAACAGCCACGTTCTACAGAGGAATTATTGAATCTGTCCTCTGCACCTCCATAACTGTCTGGTTTGGCTCTGCAACCCAACAAGACAGACACAGACTTCAGAGGAGAATTAGAACTGCAGAAAAATTAATTACAGTACTACCAACCTGCCTTCCATTGAGGACCTGCATACTGCATGAGTCAAAAAGTGGGCTGTGAAAATATCTACAGACCCCTCACATCCTGGACATAAATTGTTTCAACTTCTACCCTCAAAACGTGGCTATAGAGCACTGCACACCAGAACAACTAGACACAAGGACAGTTTTTCCCCAAATGCCATCACTCTGCTAAACAAATAATTGGATCTGCACTACTATTAATCTCTCATCGTTCCTATTACCCATCTCCCCCCACTTATGACTGTATGACTATAACTTTGTTGTTTGTATCCTTACAATTTATATTGTTTCCTAATATGATTTGATTGCTTATTTGTACCCTATAACTATCATTAAGTGTTGTACCTTATGATTCTTGATGAACGTATTTTTTTCTTTTATGTACATGAGAGGATAATGCATTAAAGACAAATTCCTTGTGTGACCAATCATACTTGGCCAATAAAAGAATTCTATTTTATTCTATTCCTCCTCTCCTCTCTATTCTATTCTATTCTAGTTTTGGGTTATTCAGCACACGGCCACCAAAATATCTTGGTTTAGTCACAATGTAAAGACATTCCTTGTTAGAAAAACAGATTAATTTTAGATACTGGATGTGGCCATAAAGAGAGAGGTTAAACCAGACTGCAAGTTACATAGCATTTAATTTTTAAAAACTGCCATCTCAAGTGGTAAGAAAATAGCTTTCTTTACAGTAAATTGTCCCATTTTTTTCTTTGCTACTTTCTCAGGAGGGGGAGGCATATGTTAAAAATGTAATATACAAAATGTATTTTAAAGAAATGAAAGAAAAACAGGGTATTTTTATTTGTACCCAACTTATTCTGTGGGTTTCTTTCTGGTTTGTTCTTGGACATAAATGGTTCATTTAAATTTACTACGTGGCTTTTTGTGAATAATCAGATTTTTTTATGCATCAGATGCAGTATTTTAAATTAGAAATAAAACTTCTGCAATGGTCTACCCAATGCACTGGTTGTAGAAACGACCCAGGGCGAATTTTAAGCTCCCTAAAATTTAAAAATATTAAATGCAAAATTCTGCAAGAATTATTGAGGGGGGAAAAGAGTAGTCTAGTTGCAAAACCGCCCTTTATACCTCAGAATTTCAGTGCAAAGTCAACCCCAGTAGTTTGCATGCATTTCAGAAAGAACTTTGGGATTAAGAATACAGTTTTTGAGTCGGGGGCACATTTTGTAAAATCAGCAGCGCAAAAACCTAAAGTTTTCGGACATAAAGGGAAGTCAAAGTATTCAGCACTTCTGGGACTGCGCATGTGCAACGCTTGCCGCCAGTAGCTTTTCCCGCCCTTTTCCCGCTCGTGGTCTCCAAGTACCGCCTCTTCCGCATGCGTAGAAATAACAGACGCTGCTGAAACGAGCTTCTCTATAACTTCGCAGCGTCCTCGTAACGCATGCGCATGACACGGCCGAGTGGGCCATACCATTCCTTGGTTTCTATAAGGGGGGGGGAGCCGTACTGTAGACTTCCAATTACTTCCTTTCGCGAGGGAAGAGAATATGAGCAACTTCGAAATGGAAATAATAGTGGAAGAATTTTGAACTATGCCTACTCCGGAGCACATTTTTTTCCATGGCGATGACAAAAGCCTTGAGTGACAAGTCACGGCGTCTCCCCGCTAAGCGATTTGGCGTGGCTCGTTCTGGGACCGCGGCTTCGGTCCGCAATTGCTGAGGGAAAAGAGGGCGCCGCCATTTTGTCGACAGCGAGGAGAGTTGGAGGCCTCAGCCGGGAGCTTGCCCAAGGTCCTCTCGCGGCCTAGTCGCAACCGATTCTTTCCTGTCCTGCCTAGGCTTCGCGCCAACGGTGAGTCCGACAGTGGGAGGACGAGTCGGGTCGCCAGGCCCGGGCCCTCACGCTGAGGCCGCGGTGACTGAAACCCGGCCGAGCCGCGGTTGCGCGTATGGGCCTTTCTCCCGCGCGCTCCCCACCCCAAGCAGGAGGGAATAAGGCGCCCTTCCCCAGCTGTGAAGCTTCCATATTTAAGGGACTACGATTTCCACCATTTAGCCGGCGAGGCCTTCTTTTGGCACTGGCACCCGTTGCGGCCCCCCACCTTTCGCAGCCAATTCGTGAGGTGTGGATAGACGCTGAGAGAAATGGAGGTTGCTGGGACTTGTAGTTCAGAGTAAAAAGTCTGGGATCAGAGCAAAACCAGGCTGCCCTGGTATTCCTTATTTCCAAGTACATGCAATCCTCGACTTACGACCGCCATAGAGCCCGACATTTCTGTGGTCGAGTGAGAGACATTTGTCAAGCGAGTTTTGCCCCGTTTTACTTGCCACAAGTTATTAAGCGAATCACTGCAGTCGATAAGTTAGTAACATATTAGGAATATATGGTACAAATGGCTAGAAAATAGACGCAAGGATCATAAAGGTTACTTAAGAGTCATATTAAAGTGGAAAGGTGTTACAAATAATTATGAGTATTGATATAATTTAAATATAAAAGTTATTTATATATATGCATGAATATTTATAGAATATATAGGACAGCGATGTGTATAACTGGAAAGAAAGAAAATTGAAATAACCATTATGTAAAGATGAGCGATACCGATACTAAAACGCTGTAAAGAATGTGGTGTAAATGATGAAATATAAGTGATAAAAATATTTTTTTTAAAAAGATAAGTTAGTAACCCGGTTGTTAAGTGAATCGAGCTTCCCCATTGACTTTGCTTGTCAGAAGGTTGTAAAAAGAGGAGACTGCAATGGTCATAAACATGAACCAGTTGCCAAGCATCTTAATTTTGAACTCAGGGTCATGGGGATACTGCAACAATCTTAAACTATGAAAAAATGGTCCTGTCACTTTTTTCAGTGCGGTTGTAACTTTGAATGGTCACTAAATGAACTGTGCCATGGTAACTAAATGAACTGTTGTAAGTCGAGGACTACCTGTGTCTTTTCCTGCCCCCGCTGATTTTGAAAACCTACCATAAATAAAGGTCAGACTAAGAACTTGGATGGGGGACCACTAGGAAATCCTAGATCTGTCACTTCAGCTGAGAAGTAAAAAAAAAAAGAAGTGGGGTGGGGGGAATCCCTAAAGAAGGCAGTAAGCAAATCACTATTCTGCCAAGAAAACTTCGTGGATGTTACCATGGAGCCATGAGAAGTCAAGGAAACTATTTCTGAAAACCGCCAATGAGTTACCTCTTTTGATAGACCAATTGGAAAAAAGAGGAATTTCGTGCGTAATTATTTCAAAAAACACTTAATCTGGTTTCCAGGGTAACATTTATAGAGCGGCGCTCTTAGAGTGGCTAAATTTGTACCTTTTTATGTCATCATAGTGTGTGTTTAGAGTTGTAAATAAACAAAAATAGCACCTTGCAGAAAAATCCATTTGCAACAGAAATTGATTGTAACTTTGAATTTCTGTTAGATCCAGCAATTTTTATCTGCAATTGTTCAAAGGTTGTGCATTTGCCATCCAGTAAGAAATGTGTAAGTGGACTGTTAGGGGCTACCAGCTGGAGGGGGAAATTAGTTATGACATCCCAGAATGATACATGAGTCAATTCAAGAAAATACATGCTATGATACAGATAGTCCCCAACTTAGGACCACAATTGAGCCCAAGATTTATGTTGCTAAGTGAGAAATTTGTTGAGTTTTGCCCCTTTTTATGACTGTTCTGATCACATTTGTTCAGTGAATCACTGCAGTTGTTAAATTAGTAATGAGATTGTTAAGTGAATCTGGCTTCCCCATTGATTTTGTCAGAAGGTCGCAAAAGGTGATCACATGACCCTGGGACACGGCAACTGTCATAAATATGAGTCAGTTGTTGAGCATCTGAATAAAAATCACATGACCATAGGGATGCAGCAAAGGTCATAACAGTGAGAAAGGGTCATAAGTCACTTTTTTTCATTGCTGCTGTAACTTTGAACGGTCACTAAATGAACTGTTGTAAGTCGAAGACTACCTGTATATCATCTTCATTCCATTGATACTGTTAGTGACAATTTTATTCTAAAGCAGTCTTCCTTGGAACAAATGAGACATAAATCCCTTTTGTGGTAGTGTTTGAACTATAGTACCAATATAAACGTCATATTCCACTTTCTATTTATGATGTTGTTGCTAATGAAACGCTTAATAATGGGAAATAGGGTTTTAATGCATATCCCCCAAAGAGTGGATAT